AATAGCAGTTTTTGTGGACTTGCAAAAGGCGTTTGATGTGGTCAACCATACTATTTTATTGAATAAGTTGGAGGGTATGGGTTTTAGAGGATGTGGGCTTTCTTTGATTGGGTCGTACTTATTAAACAGGGAGCAATATGTGTGTGTGAATCAACAGGAAAGTGAAATCTTAACCTACAACTGTGGTGTACCTCAGGGATCAGTGTTGGGACCTCTACTTTACTTACTTTATGTTCTCAGTCTGCGAGTATCTGGGTTAGATGCCCAATACTATACGTTTGCAGACGACACTGTTCTATTACATACCGACCACAGTTGTGACATTCTGGTTGATCAAGTGAATAATGACTTGACTAAATATAGCCAATGGCTATTACAAAATAATCTTAAGATAAATTTGGCCAAAACAAACTACATAATATTTAAACAAAAAAACAAACATGTAGAGCAAGTTAACATATCCCTAAATGGAGTAAAGCTAGAAAGTGCGAACAGCGTAAAATACTTAGGACTTATACTGGATGAAAATCTTAACTGGAATGCCCACATCGAGCACATGAAAAACAAAATTATTCCTTTCATGGGAGCATTTCACAAATTTAAACAATTTTTAAGTAATTCAACAAAATATAAAATATATAATACTTACATCCTTTCAAACCTACAATACCTTATACCAGTATGGGGAACCTGCAGTAAAACTAGCTTTCAAAAAGTTAAAGTTCTGCAAAATAAAGTACTTAAAATTCTGTTTAATCTTGACCACCTTATGCACACCAATGAGATATATAAATTGTTAAAAATACAGTCTATTGACCAAATTCGTGAGCTAGAACAAGCAAAACTAATTTTTAAAATAATTAATAACCTCCAAAAATCAAATTACACAATAGTTTATTCAAAAGACATACACACATATCACTTAAGGCACAACAACATCAGACTAAATAGTGCTAGAACCAATAAGGCGTTGAGAAACCCTATTGATGAAGCCTCACAGGTATTCAACAATCTGTCTATTGAAATAAAGCAAGAATTCCAATATCACAAATTTATTAAAATGCTAAAGCTGAAATTCGATGATTGATAGATAAAATAACCACTCAACCTTTGTAATGTGATATATATAAACCAAACTCCGTTACCAATGCTACAAATGCATTGTCTAGGAGTTCAGTTCATTTAGTTAAGCCTCCGACCTAAACATAAGTTAATATTATTAGTATATGTTTATATCTGAATATGATTGTTATGGATTGTTTGCTTAATAAATGATGTATTTCAAAAAAAAAAAAAAAGTTTTGTCTCTTTATAGTATGGGATACCAGGCCTATTTCATCAAATCATTTTACACTGTCTTGCATTGTTATCATCAGTTAGATAACATGATGGTGAAACGCACTTGTGCAGGGAAATAGATGGGAGTGGGGGATTTCGCTGAAAAAAATATTTCAGAAAATTTTGTCATAAACAAGGAAAATATATAATTATACACCATCTTGCATTTATTTATTGAGTTAATTTGTACACAAATAAAATTGGAATAACACATGCAAGACGTTTTCATGGAGGTTTCGGAGTTGTAATATTAGATAGACATTGTCAATTTTTCAGAGGGGTGAAATATCATTTTACACCACTTCATTGTTGATTTAGATTAAAGCTTGAATATAGAATAGCTACTGGATACTGATGCAAGACGTCCTGTGGAGGTATAACGAGCTGCAAGACGGAGGTCAATGTGTTGTCTTATGAAGGAGTGAGAAATCATTTTACACTGTCTTGTACTGGTACTAATGGGAAAAACAGAACACATTGATAACATTTTTAAAAATACAAGACGTTCTAAATGGAAAAAAGGACTGCAAGACGGTGATGAAGTTAACTAATTTTGACGGGGGTCAATCCATCAGGTACAAAGGTGAATACTACTCCAAATTACAAATAACGCACATTAATTTTAAATATTTTTGCTCTTTACACATAGAATAATTCTATTTTGCAAAATTCTCTTAATATTATGTATATTTGAATGTCTCTACGAACATCAAATAAGAAAAGGTTGAAAATTGTTCTTTTTCTGGAGGCTTATAATCATTTAAGTTTTTTTGGGGTGGATATGCCATATCACATAACGGACTGTAACTATTAGCTAAATTTGGGAAATTTGATTTTGAAGCAGCAAAAAATGACACAACAAATGATCTGTCTGGAATTGTAAACAGAAATTATAGTTCCTGTATTCAGCAGACTCCCCTGTTGAGCTGCTATGTCAACTGTCCTATTCCATCTGTATGATTTAGAAAAGAATGAACAGTGAACGGTCGGTGCAGTAAATAACTCAACAGTTCAGTTAAAAAAGAAAACGGATTTATTAACTTTTTTCCCTGAAAAAACGTCTTGGACTGATATATTACCATTTCTTAACATATATTCTTCCGGCGAACATAAGCATGAAGCGGTGTATAGTATATTACAATCCGAGACGGAAAATACTTCATTGCTGGTCGAGAGGTTATTATAGTTTATCGAGACGCGAAGCGTCGAGATAAACTCAACCTCGAGACAGAAATGAAGTTTTCCGTCGAGGTTTGTATACTTTTTTATTTTCAACCCTTAATTTTCTGATGCAAAAACTAAAGATTCTGTTATACGAAATTTTCATATAGTGTAAAACTGGCCTTAGAAAAAAATATTTCACTTTTTTTGTCAATGTCATCAATTTTGACGATCTCAAAGGCCCTGTAAAGGCCAAAACAAAAGACGAAACCACAGGAAACCGCAAAATCAACAACCATAGATAAGATCAACAACGCCTTAACGACGGTAGTTTTCGCTCAGTATTTTTGCGGAAATAATAGATTTTCACTAGATTTCTCCCCGTTCTCCCCAAAGAAATGATTTCGGAAAGTGAAGATGAAGCGATGGATTGTACCCCACCTGAATTAAAAGAAGCAGCAGACAGGATTGGAGAGAGTTTGCTTCCAGCAAAAAGCAAATTTCGGTACGAAAAGGCTTTTCAAATATTCGAAGCATGGTGTAGCCAGAAAGGAACGAGAAATACTGCCTCGGAGACCGTTTTGTTGGCGTATTTTGGCGAATTATCTAAGGAAAAGAAGCCTTCGACTTTATGGTCGACTTACAGTATGTTGAAAACCATGATTAAATTGAAAGAGAAAGTTGATATCTCCAATTACGCAAAACTTATAGCTTTTTTGAAGCGGCAAAATCTGGGCTTTCAGCCGAAAAAGTCGAGCGTTTTTTCCAGAGAAAACATTAACGAGTTCCTCACGAAGGCAGCTGAAGAATTCATTAGCATCAAGGTAGGTTTTCAAAAAATATACAAAGAAGATAAAAATGCGAAAATCAAAATGATTTTCTGTATGCTATAGCTAGGTTACCCATTTTATTTTTATCTGGTTTCAGGTAGCGCTAATTGTTGGTGTGTCGGGTGCATGTAGGAGCGATGAACTAGTCAAGATGAAAATGGAGCACGTCAACGTTTTGGAAGGAAAGATCGCTATAGAAATTCCACACACAAAAACTTACACAAGTCGATCGTTTATCATAAGCGATCCAGATTGGGTTGCTATTTTCCACAAATACCTCACTTTGCGGAAAAATTTGAAAAATGACAGGTTATTTGTTCAATGGCGAAATGGGAAATTACATAACCAAGCAATTGGCTATCATTCAATCTCAAAATTTCCACATAAAATAGCTGCTTTTTTGAAGCTTCCAAAAATTGAAACTTTTACAGGGCATGCTTTTCGTCGTACTTCCGCAACCTTATTGGTTGACAACGGGGCCGATCTATTGCAACTCAAAAGACTGGGAGGGTGGAAATCGAGCACGGTTGCTGAAGGCTACATAGAGGCATCTTTGGAGAACAAAAGTAAGACTGCTCTGATGCTATCCTCTACTTCCAAAGGTATTCAGTTGTCCAGTGCATCCACAAGTACATCACATGCGGAAACTCATCCGCAAGCGCAAGAGATAATAGTTCCAAACGAAACACAATTCCAACAGGATGGTCTCAAGATTTCCATTATAAACAACAATGCTAATTTAACAATTAATGTAAATAAGTGAATAGATTTAATTAGTTCCATGTAATACATGTGGTTTTATTATTATATGTGAGAGCTGTATGAAAATTATCAATTTGGAACGAGCAGGGAAATGGGGACGGAAAAGCATTTGCCGTCCCGGACGGAAAATGCTTTTCCGTCCTAGGCAGGCATATGCATTACCGTCCCGATAAATGTCAAAGTCCAGAAATGTGACACTTTCAAGATTTTGAAAAACCTGCAATGTCAACATTACATATGTGGTTGAAAATAAAAATAATTTTTCACTCCCTCATGAGACAAGGCATTGACATCCGTCTTGCAGCCCGTTATCCCGCCACAGGACGTCTTGTATCAGTATCCAGTAGCTATTCTATATTCAAGCTTTAATCTAAATCAAAAATGGAGTGTTGTAAAATGATTTTTCACCCCTCTCAAAAATTGACAATTTCCATCTTATATCACAGCCCCAAAACCCCCATGAAAACGTCTTGCATGTGTTAATCCAATTTTGTTTGTGTACAAATTAACTCAATAAATAAATGCAAGACGGTGTATAATTATATATTTTCCTTGTTTATGACGACATTTTCTGAAACATTTTTTTCAGCGAAATACCCTACTCCTATCTATTTCCCTGCACAAGTGCGTTTCAGTACCATGTTATCTAACTGATGATAACAACGCAAGACGGTGTAAAATGATTTGATAAAATAGGCCTCGTATCCCGTACTATTAGTCCGTACCTATAGCATTGAGATTTGATCCTACAATTTTGAGTCGAAGATTTTTATAATCTCAAGTCTCGCCTTGAATCTTTAGGATATTGAATCAAGAGCCGAATAAAGACCTCTCTTGTGAATTATTTAAAATGTTCAACAAAAGGACAGTTAAAGATTATTATTACAAACTTTGAAAAATAAATCTTACCTGGCTTTGAATAAAGCTCCCGAAGAAGTCTGATAATCTTTAGGTACCACCAGCTCCCTAATCCTCCTGTGGCTCTCCAACCCAATAGACTTATCCGACACAACTTCAATCAAAAAATTCTCCAACCCGGCATCGATACACTTATTCATATTCCTATTAACATTGTGCTTGACCAAATCGGGAAAATCGCCCCTCGTAACGATCCGAATACATATAAACGGGGCCAACAAGGGTGACCCTTTCAACGTAACTTTGTCCGGAAAGCAATTGTAAAAAGTCAGCCCTATAAGATTAAAAACTACTTGAGGCAACGATAGGAATGTCACGAATCTTAAGGCGTAAAGTATACAGGCACCCAAAATACCGTACTGGATCCAAGGGTCTATTTCAGCCAAAGACGCTTCCGGCACTTTTAAAGTACTGGAAAAATATTGGAAAAGGACCAAAATCGTCACGAACAATACACAGTGGAGTAGATGTTTTGTCCGGCTACCAATTGATAATAAATCTCTTGTAAACTGCATTTTTTGTTGGTCCGATCGATAAACTTCTTTTTTTTTTCAATTTGCTGCAATCATTTGGTGGGTTGTTCAATGTGGAACTCCGCACAGGGCTTCGGTGCACGGTTTTGTGTGAGAAATCTGCACTTTTTTCGGGTCCCCAAAATTGGCTTCGGGAGGTTTGAAACAGAACCAACTTTCGGCTACCGCACCACAACAACAAATGAGATTTTTTTTTTCGATTCAATTTTTGGGTGACACTGACAGATAAATGACAATTGTTTGTTGATGTTTTGGTTTTGTTAATGGTGGCGCCATCTGTCAGACATAAACGTTAAATAAATTAAAATTACAGGGTTCGCAAGTAGTGAAGCAAATTTTTTATGAATGGCATGTAGTAAAATTGACAGTTATGTTGTAGAGAGCGCTTCTGTCGACACTACGTTCTAATTATGTTCCATTTGCACTAACTCGATTTATATTACTAGCATTCCATCTGATCTGTATTTAATTCTATTTGAATTCTTTGTATTGTACGAGTCACTCTAAGTGTTCTAATTGCTTTAATTTCTGTTTCATCTACACTAACTCTGTTCTGTTTGCATAGATCTAAGGTCTTACTTTCGAGAATTCTTGCATACGAAATTTGATACGATTTTAAATTTTAGTGCACTGCTCTGATTGTTACTGTTCGGACTACTGCATTATGCTACTAATCAATGAATTTATCTTCAACTGTCCAAACTACTTTCGATGTTCTAATTATGTTCCATTTGCACTAACTCAATTTATATTACTCTAAGCATTCCATCTTTATTTAATTCTATTTCAATTCCTTGTATTGAACGAATCACTCTAAATGTTCTAATTGCTTTAATTTTCTGTTTCATCTACACTAACTCTGTTCTGTTGGCATAGATCTAGGGTCTTATTTTCAAATATTCTCGCATACGCAATTTGATACGATTTCAAATTTAGTGCACTGCTCTGATTGTTACTGTTCGAACTACTCCATTATGCTACTAATCAATGAATTTATTTACTTAGTAGGCCGATTTGAAACTTAGTTTTGGGTTTTTAGGAATTCTACTCTAGCTGGGTTCGGCTATTCAGCGCGGAGTTGGTGTGGAGTGAACAGAGCTAATGGAGTCACTCCTAATATGGTAAAAAGCAATACCCGAAACTTAACCCGAACGGCTGGAGTGCGAATGGAGTTACTCAGAGTGCACGGAGTGAGCAAGCCGAACCCACCTGCTGACTGTTCCAAGTGCAATGACTCTTTTTGAGCTGTTAAACTGTCCAAACTACTTTCGCTGTTCTAATTATGTTTCATTTGCACTAATATATTACTTTAAGCATTCCATCTGTATTTAATTCTATTTGAATTTCTTGTATTGTACGAGTCACTCTAAGTGTTCTAATTGCTTTAATTTCTGTTTCATCTACACTAACTCTGTTCTGTTTGCATAGATCTGGGGCCTTATTTTCGAATATTGTCGCATACAAAATTTGATACGGTTTCAAATTTTAGTGTACTGCTCCGATTGTTACTGTTCGAATTATTTTACTATTCAATAAATTTATTTACTAGTAGGCCGATTTGAAACTTAATTTTGGGTTTTTACGAATTCTACTCTGACTGTTCAAGTGCACTGACTCTTTTTGAGCTGTTCAATTGTCCAAACTACTTTCGCTGTTCTAATTATCCTTGCGTTCGGTATTTTGCTCGAAGAGCAGAGCGTGCAGAGCGGAGCCGTAACCACGTGACCAGCGAGCGAACAGAGCAGTTGAACGCTGTATAAAAGTGCCAGAAATTTTAATAAACGAACGCGAATGAGGATACACCGAGTACACTTTTTGAATAAACGAACGGTAAAGTCAAGCTCGGAGAACTCAGACCAAAATAACGAACGCACGGCATGTTCCATTTGCACTAACTCGATTTATATTACTCTAAGCATTCCATCTGTATTTAATTTTATTTGAATTTCTTGTATTGTACGAGTCACTCTAAGTGTTCTAATTGTTTTAATTTCTGTTTCATCTACACTATCTCTGTTCTGTTTGTCCAAACTACTTTCGCTGTTCTAATTATGTTCCATTTGCACTAATTCGATTTATATTACTCTAAGCATTCCATCTGTATTTAATTCTATTTGAATTCCTCGTATTGTACGAGTCACTCTAAGTGTTTTAATTGCATAAGAATTTGATACGATTTCAAATTTAGTGCACTGTTCTGAGTGTTACTGTTCGAACTACTCCATTAGGTTATTAATCAACGAATTTATTTACTTAGTAGGCCGATTTGAAACTAATTTTGGGTTTTTAGGAATTCTACTCCGACTGTTCCAAATGCACTAACTCTTTTTGATCTGTTCAACTGTCAAAACTACTCTGACTCTTCTATTTCTGTTTCATTTGCACTAACTCGAGTTAAATTACTCTGAGCATTTCATCTGTATTAATTCTATTTGAAAAATTCCTTCTATTCGAATAATTCCTTCGATTCCTTCTATTGTATGAGTTACTCTAAGTGTTCCAATTGCTTTAATTTCTGTTAAATCTGCACTAACTCTGTTCTGTTTGCACTCTTCTGATTGTTCCTATTCGTACTACTGTAATATGCTATTTATCAAGGAATTTATTCACTATAACAGTATAGGCTGATTTGAAAATTAATTTTGGGTTTTTAGTAATTCTACTCTGATTGTTAGAAGTGCACTGACTCTTGTTGATCTGTTCAACTGTCTGAATTACTCCGACTGTTATAATTCTGTTCCATTTGCACTAGCTCTCTTCTGTTTGCACTGCTTTGATTATTACTGTTTAAACTACTCCATTAGGCTACTTATCAATGAATTTATTCACTATAACAGGCGGCTGATTTGAAAATTAATTTCGGGTGTTTAGTAATTCAGTCTGACTGTTTTGAGTGCACTGACTTCTTTTTGATCTGTTCAACTGTTTGAACTACTTTGACTGTTTTAACTCTGTTCCATTTGCACCAACCCGATGATTTAGTTTATGTTCCGATATCAACTGTCAGTACTGAATTTACTGGACGTCGTTTCGATATTATTTTCAGTGCACTGGATCTAGTAGATTCATTACTGAATGAGCACAAGAGTACACTGTTGAAATCGGAACGGCAAATGATAGTAAAATCAGCACAGTAAATCCAGTACTGGCAGTTGATATCGGAACATAAGCTAAATCATCGAGTTGGTGCAAATGGAACAGAGTTAGAACAGTCAAAGCAGTTTAGACAGGTGAACACATCAAAAAAAGTCAGTGCACTTGGAACAGTCAGAGTGGAGTTACTAAAAATTAAAAATTAATTTTCAAATCAGCCTTTTTGGTATAGTCAATAAATTCATTGATAGGTAGCATAATGGAGTAGTTCGAATAGTAACAATCAGACCAGTGCAAACAGAACAGAGTTAGTGCGAATGAGACAGAAATTACAGCAATTGGAACACTTAGAGTGACTCAAACAATGGAAGAAATTCAAATAGAATAAATGCAGATGAAATCTTTAGAGTAATTTAAATCGAATTAGTACAAATGGAACAGAATTAGAACAGTCAAAGTAGTTCGGACGGTTGAACAGATCAAAAAGAGTCAGTGCACTTGAAACAGTAAAAGTAGAGTTACTAAAAAACCAAAATTAATTTTCAAAGCAGGCTACTGGTATGGTGAATAAATTCATTGTTTAGTAGCATATTAGAGTAGTTCGAACCGTAGCAATTAGAGCAGTGCAAACAGAACAGGGTTACTGCAGATAAAACAGAAATTAAAGCAATTGAAACACTAGGAGTCATTCAAACAATAGAAGGAATTCAAATAAAGTTTTTTTTTTTAAAGATAATTCTCCAAGTCAAAAATTTAGTAACTATGTTGGCAACACAAGCCTTTGACAATTTTACATTGTATTGCCAACAGAATGTCATTCTGACATTTATCTTTAAAAAAAAAACAGATTTTAGAATTATTACAGATGGAATGCTTAGAGTAATTTGAAACGAGTTAGTGCAAATGGAACAGAATTAGAACAGTCAGAGTAGTTCAGACAGTTGAACAGATCAATAAGAGCCAGTGCATTTGGAACAATCATAGTAGAATTACTAAAAACCCAAAATTAATTTTCAAATTAGCCTACTGTTATAGTGAATAAATTCATTGTGTAGTAGCATATTAGAGTAGTTCGAACAGTAACAATCAGATTGGAACATTTAGAGTAACTCAAACAATGGAATGGAAGTAATTCAAATAGAATTATTGCAGATGGATTTAGAGTAATTTAAATCGACTAAGTGCAAATAGAGCAGAATTAGAACAGTCAATGTAGTTCGGACAGTTGAATAGATTGAAAAGAGTCAGTGCACTTGGAACAGTCAGAGTAGAATTACAAAAAACCCAAAACCAATTTTTAAATCAGCCTACTGTTATACTGTGTTATAGTAAATAAATTTACTGATCAATGGCATAATGGAGTAGTTCGAACAGTTACAATTAGAGCAGTGCAAACTGCAAACAGAAGAGAGTTGAGTGCGGACGAAACAGAAATTGAAGCAATTGGAACACTTAGAGTAACTCGAACAATCGTTTTACTCCACTAGTCGGATATCGGATACAACTTAATAAATTGGTTCTCTTACTACTGGAGTACCTTTGTCTTTCTTTCTTAATAAGCTAGACAAGGATACAACATAACAATCACATGTATTGTTTACTGTCAATATGTCAGCTGATTGCTGCTGACTCACAAAAATCAAAATAAAAACAAAAATTTTCCAAAATTTGATTAACAAGCTATTTATATTTAATATTCCGATAAAGCTCCTGGGTGGGTGGGTCTCAGTTGTTGTCCAAAATGAACAGACAAAATACGACAAATTACGGTTCGATAAGAGATCCGGTTGTAGAAGTGGGATTCAGCGGAGGAGATAACAGGAACCAGCAGGACATGGTGTCCAGGGAATTTAACGTTTTGTGCGACGATATCGAGACGAATCTGTACACGATCAAGTCCAGCATCAAAACGTTACAGGACAGTCTCAAGAGTATCGGGACGGCCAAGGATAATACTGGGATCAGGAATAAAATGTAAGTACATTTTTCTAGTAAAAATTTATTTATTGAAATATACAGGGTGTCCGGAATAACTACACTCTATTTTTTCCCAAGATAGATTCTGACATTGTCAACTTTAAAACATAAACAATACCGCGTGGCTCTGATTGGTCGCAA